GTTAAAAAATTTTAAAAAAATGATAATAGACTTTAATTTCTATAGTAATTACCCTTTTATTGCCTCGATGAATAATTATTCTTTCTTTCTTGTTTCTTTTCCTGTTTAGTTTTATGGACCAAGAACAGGAGCTTTGTTTGTTCGTGAAAATCAGTCATATTCCATACTTTTTCCATCTTTATTTGGTGGAGGACAGGAAAGAGGGTATAGGCCTGGGTAAGTGACAGTTAAATACATTTGTTTTACAGGATTGTGTGTTTCAGCCATATTTCTAGTTATGTAGGATGTTGAGTAAATAGTAATAGGAACAAGTGGCATTATACAGGGTGGAGTATGTTATATTACAATGATTTTGAATGTGCCAGTCAGCAAGTCGTGTGACAACCACAGCACATATAAAGTTTACAGTGGAACAACATGTATCACAACTATGTTTTGACATTGCTTGACATTTTGTAGGTGATGTGATGCTACTGAAAACTGATTACTTTTGGGAAGGGTATGTAACAGACTTTTCCAATGCAAAGTATTCATACATTCAGGCCATGAACATATGTCAGATTGTGGATTTAGAATTTCCAAGACAGGGATATCTTTTGTACTTAATGGCACTGGAAAACAAAGGAATATGGATCAATTTGGGATACCAGGACCATCCACAAAGAGTTCTGCAACAAATTTTACCCTAGCTTTCGTAAGCAAAATATTACAGGTGAGGATCCACGAACACAAAGGTCATTGGCAATAGTCATCCTACTGTTACAGATGAAAGTATGCAGCATAATCAAGAAGGTTCACCGTCAAGAAACAAGGCCAACACACCACATCTTAGGGTCACCAATATAAGATTACAGTCATACCTCCAAGTCAATGATTGCATACCTCAAGCAGCTGGAGAATTAAATAGGTATTCTTGATATTCCTTAAGAAGGCATACTGATTAGACTGTTGAAATTGGTGTTAGGGAGCTATTGTCTTCATACATAAGATGGATAATGGAAAGCCATCAGAATGGAGTGGTGTGCTTTGGACAAGACAGCTCTTTAACTGAGTCTTTTGCAATAGAAACTGCACTTGCAGGGCTATTGTCAAGGTGTATGGTCATCAGACTGAGCATCATCAGACATGGCTACATGGACTGTAATGATATGGTGATGCTCCAAAATCATTTTGATATAATGTACTGTAGTACTGTGTAATATTTTACTTGTAAAAGTTGTAAAAAACAACTAAATCTTGTAACCTTTCTTGTTTTGGTGAGTTCTAATTATTATGATATATATATATGTTGCTATTCATTTTTAGTGTCATGATATTTTTCAAACATTAGTCATCCATGCTTTCCATGGCGTCTCTTTTCTAAATTTTAGTCACTTGCATCTGAAGCAAGTCCATGTAGTGACATATTACACAAAGTTCTGTAAATACTCAAGTGGTGAAAAACATGAATATAATCATATTTCTTGGTATACTGTAGCTATTCTGTAACTATGTGATTTTTCTTTGTTATTAATTATTTTTATCAAATTAATTCATACCAAAATAACATTTCATTGCTTTAGAATTTTAGTATTAAATATAAGAGGGCACAGTACAACAGCATTTTTGTACATTTTATGAAATTTTAATTTAAATCCAGTAACCATACCGAAAAAAAGTAATAGCAATATACAAATAAGACATATTAAACTAAAACACAAGCAACAGAGTGGGAGCAGTAAAATATGTTTTGTGTAAAAAATATGTCTGCATAAAAAGACCTACACAGTGATGAGGATACTATGTCCATCAAAATTATTGTATAATAATTGGAGTG